AAGACAAATCTAAGAGTAAGATGCATACCTGACTTTTAGAAAAATACATAGTGTGAAGTGTGTGGACACACTTCATACTACAGGCTTTCTGGCTACAGAATCGCCCTGACTGATTTGCAACTTTCCCTTAAATACTACCAGAACAAAGACAAAGAAATCTTTAAATCAGTTGTAAAAACATAAAATACCTTTTGTTTGTTAGTTTCTGTGATCCAGTGTCACACCCGGCTGGAAACATTCTCACAGACCCCTAAAGGGGAACACCCCCCCTCCTCAACACAACATATGTTTTTAAACCTTTCATTTTATTTCCTGGTATTTTACATTATTTCTGAATGCAGCAATAAAATGTGACTCGTACACGATCTTTAAAATGATACCAAACATGAAGGGGAATAACAGCAGGTTCACAAGTTACATGATATGTGGGATATGCATATTCTTAATGAACTTTGAGTGAACCTTTTGGGGGGGAAAGAGGGAGAGGCAGAGAGGGCAGGAGGAGAAGGGAGTCGTAAATGAGCGAGGAGAGAGATGTTGTTTGCTCTCTTTGAAGATTTCTTCTCCATATAAATTTTATTGTTTTATTGCATGGCGTCTGGAGATTTCTTCTCCAGATAAGTTTTATTGTTTTATTGCATGGCGTCTGTTTTGTGTGAGTTCCTGAGTATTGGCTTCATAAAGAGTTAATTTCATAAGGAAATAAATTCACTCCTTTCAGTGTGATCACTTTGCTTGTAGAAGGTTATGAGGGTCTTAAACACAAGTCTTTTTCTATTTTTAGCAATAGTTCTTTCAGATAGTTAAGAGTGTATGAGGCTAAATCAGTTTAGAAATATTAAAACTAATTACTTCTACAGAATGTCTTGTTCATTTATTCAAAACTGTCTAATAAAGCACACAAACTTTTATCGAAATCATTCAAGTTAATTTTAGACGATCTTTAATTTCACATTTTATACTATTTTTTTATTAATTAATTTTATAGCATTTTTTTTTTGCAAAACTAGTTTAAAAGGTTTTATATATTTACTACTATTTTAATTAATGTTTAAATGCATCGCTTCAGAACAACAATAAGTCTGTATAAATACCTACACATTTCTGTGGTTTTATTGCTCTTCAGAAGGTATGTAAAGATTCACTCAACTCACGATGTGATACAATTCAGGATATTGATGTCATGATACGATTTTCTCATGACAAAATGCTGCACATTTCTTTGTCTAATTGAAATATGTTAAATAACTATTTTTAAACAAACCCCAAATCAAATAAATAACACAAATGAAAGAAGTCTCTTCGTATAAACAAGCTAAGGCTTTGTCTGTGCTCGTTCTATTTAAAATCAGAGGCAACCACTGCATTTTAATCACAATCCAAACAAAGGAGTTTTTAAATCTAAATTATATTGTATTATTTTGAAATCTGAAGCAAAAACAGAACGGTCTGACTTTAATTTTGTGAAACTATACTAAATAAAACATGTGAATCCAAGATACTAAACAAAACATAGAAATCCAAGATGGTGGCGTGGTCGGACGCAGCAGCTACTCTGGGTCCCAAAACCAGTGTTTTTATGTCTGTTAGTCTCGTTTCCTCGTCTTTGAACAGTCTCACCTTATCACAAAATCATCAGATGAACACTCGGAAACACATCTATGATCGACAGAGCCTTCTGGAAATCGGCAGTGTGTACAAACATCAGCTTTCGCCGGTGACTACTGAGAAGCTACGAGGCCTCTGTCTGCTGCTTAAGCCGAACCCCGCGGCCTCGCCTACTGATGCTACCTGCACAAAACAGCGACTCCGGCAGTGTGAGAGGGGACAGAAGCGCAGCAAGCATGGAGGCACACGAGCTAGGCTAAGGTCTTACCCCACTAGACCAGCGATTCCATCACTCGTGCTCTCAAACGTTCGCTCTCTGGAAAATAAACTGGACTTAATTCAACTCAGTCGGTCTACACAGCATGAGACAAGGGATTGTTGTGTGTTTGTTTTCCCTGAAACATGGCTAAACGACAACATCCTGAACTCCGCTATTCAGCTGCACGGGTTAACCTGCTACCGAGCGGACAGAGATACAGCACTGTCTGGTAAGACTCGCGGGGGTGGCTTGTGTGTGTACGTCAACAAAGAGTGGTGTAACAATGCTGTGGTAGTGACAAAACACTGTTCATCGCTGGTGGAGTTTATGTTTGTGAAGTGTCGACCGTTCTATCTGCC